GACACGAGGCAGTCAGTCTCGAGCCGTCGAAGAGTTAGAATAAACGACTTCAATACGTAAGACGTGTTCGATTTTTTCCCCGCTCGACATCCTACAATATTGTGACACAAACATTTTCTGCGTGGGTGAAGGCATAAAGGAGATATCAAGATCATCTCTATTTTTTTTAATGGAATGCTATGTGTTTTTTATCGCGATGTGATAGCCGGTGTTAAGACGACTTCAGCGAGCTATTATTGAAGGTCATGCAAGGTCAAATCTGGTAGTACAATAAACTTTCTTACATTACAGGAGATGCTATGCTTGAAGTGGTGACCGTTTGTGTCAATGCGAAGTTTCGAGTAGCTCGAACAAGCTCGAAGTATAAGCTCGTTCGAACAAGATCGAACACCAAGGCTTGGTTACCCATCACTAACCGTAACCCAGTGTGGCCCTTGATGGTTAACCACACTAATCGGTGTTACTTATGTGCCCATTCGTCATTGCACTATATCTTGATCGTCAAGAATAATTTGTCCTTAAGAACATTATTATGTCTTGAAAAATCGAAGGGTTGCACTACAACGTGTTCCGCGATTAAACCGACATACACGTACTTCATCAGCATATTCGAGAGATTGTTCCGAATGAAAAATGTTATATAAACAATGGGTTGCGACAACTCAGCTGACGAGATATGGACAGAAATACTGATACGTCGAGTTATTACATTAGGAGATTATTTTCCATCCTGATTAAAATGTTGTTGATCTTTGTGGTGTTTACATTTTCTAGCGATAAGAGTAAAATAATGATTTAGTTCAGCGTTTCTCAAACTATGTTTCGCGGAACACCGGTATTTCACGGAAACTGAATAAGTGTTCCGTGAAAAATGATGTTTATTTTAAGAGTAAATGTTTATTTTTTTCTTAACGCTTAGATTTACTAATTTATTTTATTTATTGTTTATATCTACCTACTACCTAAAATTTCAGGATTTGTGAAGTGTTCCGTCGTAGGAAAAGTTCGGGAAACGCTGATCTAGATGATGATGTCCCCATGCAACGCAGCGATATTAGCAACGTCGCCTATGTCACTCATCCTTCAATCTTGCTGATATTTAGTGCACTTAATGGAAACACGCCTACCTGTGTGTACATAGGCACCAGATGATTATTTTGAACAACACATGTAAATATCACTGCTGGTAAAAGTCACGTTTAGCGGATACAGCTCCGATTACCTTGACTTTCACATGTATTTTTAAAGACAGTCTTCAGAGTAACCTCCCAGAAGTTTCAGCCATTGTTCGTTTTTATTGAAGTTATTAGCAAAACAATTGCAATACACAGTTATTTGCAAAACAATTTGCAACATATACCAGTCATTCCAACCAGTTACTCTAATCAACTCCGATCAGTACAGTACTTCAAACTTGGTTAGACATACTTAAAAAAAAATCATTCAGGGTCGGTTAGAGACAGTTCAAGAAAAAGATGTCATTGTTCTCGTAACAACTTTTCTATAAACATTTGACAACTGACACTTTCTGAAGGTCACACCGGAAGGTAACCTTGACAACATAGGTTAAGGTCTTCGGTCATTTTACTTATCAATATTACTAACGTACGATATTCAATTTTTTGTTAATGACTTTTTAATAAAAAACGAGACACGGCTAAAACTTTTTGGGACTTACTCAGAAGAATGTCCTTAACAACATTTGTCAAGTACAAAGTTAACGGAGCTGCATCCCCTAAACGTAACTTTTACCTCACTGTTAAGCACAATTGCAGTGTAATATGATACAAATAATTAAGCAAATGTTAAATAGTCGGAATACGTGTGATTATTTGTGGTTTACGTCAATAAATTTTTGCCATGTAGTATTTTTTACTTGTAATAACATGTTGAACAAGCTGCTGAAGTTTGTCGATATAATCACGACACACTCTATAATAAAGTCTTCGTAAATGTTGCCCCATTCACTTGAAAATGTCTGGCAGAAAGCAAGACACCCACATGCGTTGTATTCACTATTCAGTTTTTCAATCTCTTTTCTTGACACATTTTATTAAGAGAGTTTATACCTTTATGCCGGGTCTCCACAAATGACGCATGTTCAAACCTTCCAAGTCTATCAGTAAAGTCCACTGAGAAATTGGATAACCAGCATTAGTAGTTGCATCATCCATAAGAAGAAGACCTTCTTCGCAAACATGAAGTGCCTGGATGTATCACAGATCATAAGTTTATGAGTTAGTTGAAATTACAATATTAATACACAGGACTTATAAATTATAGCAATTCAACTTACAAGTAATAATAAATCATCTTCTCCGATAGATTTCAATAAACCTTTTACGTCCATTTGACCTACTCTTAAGATATATAAAGGACGTCCATCTAGAAATTATTAAACAGATTACATGAGATCTATATTTAAAAATGAATTCATTACAAACGCGTAAGAGCATCGAATATATAATTAGAAGTTAGAAAAGAAGAATTAGTAATCAATTCGCATTATTTATCATTGATGGAAAGTACCTGGGTATTTCTCAGAAGTAACCGATAAAGGAAAATACGCGATCTGACAATAACATTCGTAAAACTACGGCATAATCAATAGGGTATTTTAGTACAGACGCCCGCTTCCAATGTGACATTTGGGATTTTTTTTGTAAAGAAATGATAACACTTCTTACAGTCATGAAAGTTCCTAAAGTTGGTATGGATGGAATAGTGTGAACAAGGAAGGAGGTGTTGAAAGACATTGTAGAAGTTTTGTCGACTAGAATCTGCGGCGTCAGGTTTAGGCCGGCTGTTTCCATATAATGTCATACAGCGATCAGCAGCGATCAGTTGTCGAACAGTTCCCGAATTACACAGCAGCTCCATCACTGTGTGCCTATCGCTCTCGCGAGCGCATGACGTGTAACTCCGGCACCGTTCACGGAGGGTTAACAATATTTGTATTTAAATTTAATTATAAAGGCGGGTTTAAATTTTATATCTAATAAGTTTTTTTGTCGATTGTTGCATAAATAAATAATAATAATCCATTTCTGTGATACCAGAACTCTTACATGATTAGAAATAGGGACATTGACCTTATATCAATGATGAATCAGTACAAAATTTACGGGGCCATTCGATTTCGGTACAAATCAGCAAGTGATTCCACACTTTTGGCCGATAGTGTATGTAGCGATGATGCTGCGGAAAATTCGCCAACCTTATTATCAGACATCGTATACATACTTCGTAGACATTGTAAACTCGTCGTAATTAAGGTGTCAAGGAGTTAATATGCGCGTAAATACATTGATTCGAATTGTACACCTACGAGCAAACTTGGCTTCTAATAGGGGAAAAAATAACGTAGGGAAAAGACCTCCCATCACTTGGTATTGGAAATTATTAAAATTTATACCAAATTAATATTCGATTTAACATTTATTTCAGTAGTTGAAATTTTATAAAGTGGTGGGAGGTCCTTTTCCTACATTACTTTTTCGCCTAGTAGAAGCCGAGTTTGTTTGTGGTGTACGTGCTGGTAGGTTTGAAGTAATACAAACCGCTACAGTACCTTTGTCAAAATGATGCCAGCCGCCAGGGAAATAATCTTTCACTACTTGTGGCAGCTCATACTCTTCGAGGAGTTTGTCAATCTGATGCTTCTTTCGCCAATGTAATGAGTGTGTCAACATATCCTTCGCCTTTTCAACAGAAAACTCTGCCGCTCTCAAAAATCTTAAGAGTGTTGCATCACCAGGTACAGAGCTGCCCCTTAATTCTTTTATACTTTGTGACAACTGAACAAGTTTGCTCTCTTGAATCATGTCAAGCTTACCTAAATATCTTTCTATGTAATCTGAAGAAAGTTGCATTTCTGAAACATAACGTGCAGATGTCTTAGGCGAGTTCAATTTCACACCAGGATCATGGGCAACTAGCGTAATAAATGTTTTTCTACTTATAACCAACATTGCACCATACCCATACTTTAACCAAAATTGCGGTAACATGAAACGAGTGATCTTTTCATGAATATTAATATCATAAGCAATTTTCGTTTGATTTCATTGGAAATACACGCATTCTAAATATGGTTCTTCTACAAATGATATTACAATTAACTAATAAATGTGTAAATATGTTGAACAATTTTCGGTCCAGCCGCAACGGCGAATATAGTGAATATATTGTATGGTAAAAATAGTATACATAAGTTATGTGTGTTTATTTATGATGTGCACATGTTACACTGCATTGTTGACAACGACTACTCTCAAGGTCTATAAAATAAAGTTATTGTAATTCATAAGTAAAATTATATTTATTAAAAACTACATTAGGTATTTCCGCCGTAAGGGAATTCCCCGGTAACCCTGCTTATGACGGCCCTGACAAGTTGGCCAATGCCTGAAACTGGCTAGTGGCCAACGCTTGGTTTTTGACAACGCCTGAACGGATAATGCCTAGTATCGGATTGTATACTGTTTTTTTTTTTATAAATAACAAATTCTGAAATATTTAAACTTCCTGTTATTATCAAACTGTCATACAATTAACAAAATACATTTGCTCTGCGCCTATGACATACAAAATCTAATTAAGGATGAAACCGTTTAAATTGTAATAATAAAAGAAGTAAAAACTGTGTTATAGAATTATACATTCATAAATATTGCATGTATCAATATATAATAAAATAACGTACCTCTGGTTTGTAATTTGTCTGTATATGAGTAAGTGTCACTTTCACTGTGAGCTTCTTGATTTTCGGCAACATTATCCCTGAACATAGCGAATCATAAATAATCATTATAGTTATTTTACCGTGTAGAATATGTTATGTATAAATAATTTTCAGAAGAATATAGTGGAGTAGTCATTCGAATTTGCTAATAAATTATTCCCATATGCCATCTTGTAGCCATGTCTTAAGTTAATACAGGGGCCTCGCGATTACTGACTCTTTGTTGATATGCGATTATTGTCCGGGCGTCATCCCCACCACTGGGGGGGGAGGCCGTGGAATTCAGCAACCGCATACTTTGTTGCTGCGGCGTGCATAGGTGGCTCTCCCGTTCACGAGCCGACGACTAACGTTGGGAGTCCACAAAAAGGTTACATCCCCGGGTGTCGGAGAGACAATACTAATGCAACGATACAACTTTTTTATTTTTGGTTCTTTATTAATGAAACTTTTATGAACATATTGGTGAGATTTTTCTGATTAAAGTGATATCAAAAGCGACACAGTTGGGATCATATTTACTTATGATTTATCAGAAACCATACTGAACGAATATGAACTATTAACACTTTCTACATGAGTGAATATAATCCAAATTATGTCGTGTTTGGTATCATTTTAATCAGAAAAATCTCACCAACATACTAGTAAAAGTTTCATTAACAACGAATCAAAAATAAAAAAGTTTTATCGTTGCATTAGCGTTGTATCACCGATATCCGGGAATGTAATCTTTTTTTTGGCTCGTGAATGGGAAGCTGTCTCGGCACGCCGTGCAACAATATCTGCGCTCGATAGACTCGACGGACAGAGCGGGGGAATGTACGACGATTAGTTGAAGGGTTCAATCATCAGCGACTGCCCAGAGAGCTGCCGACGAATTAAATGTAGCTGGATCACCTCCAGTAACACGTATTTTTATTAGTGGCCGAAATGGTACACACACAATCGGACTGTGTGGTCGGCTACAATGTAACCATTGATCGGCGAAAGCGTCGCAGGCGGGGACGTAGCAGAGTCGAGTAGGAAACGAAACTCTTTCTCTGTTTTTCACTGGCTTGTCCTTTTCTATGTTCGCAATACTATAAAGGCGAGTTGCCGAGGCTCGAGCTTCGTGCAAAAAACGTATTCACGAGGGTTAGAAGCGTTTCGCGTAGTCCACGATTATCGTCCCCTCGCGGACCCGAGTTAGGGACCATAATCGCGAGGCCCCCCTGTATTGGGAAAGTCGGTGGACGCGTAGCTTAGATTTTAGCCCTCCGGTGGTAAGATGGACTACTACTGACAGTAGGTTCTTCAAATTTATTGTTGCCTAAAGTTCAGATTGGTTCAGATACCGCAAATACGCAGCAGCTTTTAACAGCTTTAAAGTTATTTGAATCAGATGTCTGTGACTTGAATTGAAAGAACAATGTGAATTTCCATAAAAGAAATTTGTACGTTTGCGTGTGTAACATCCCAAAGTAAAAATTTTATTAGTAGTGTAAGGAATTTTCTGGAATTCACCAGATCATTGTAATAGCGGCGAGTATTTCATGTGTAACTCTTTTCATGGTATTACAGCGAATATTTCATGTGTAGCTCTTTTCATGGTATTACAAGATCTGGAGAATTCTCGAACCTTCGATTATGATATTATATAAAAACTCGGACAGGCATTCTGCGATTATCTGTGTCGATGAACGAATCTGTGAAACAAATATACATCTTTGTGCAAAAAGTCTGTACCAAACTTTATTTCTGCTGCCCTTCTTATTACAGTAGTGAATATATAATTCATCGTGGCTACCTTTTAAATAGTGGAAGACTAAATGAAGATAACAATAACATTATTGAAATCATTGGGCTTTGTCTTCAGATATGATATTCAAACGATGATTCACATGAAATTGGTGGTGAAATCTTAAAACATGGACGAATTATTGGTATGACTTATAACTTACGCAAATTTGCAACACAACATCCTAAAAATAATAAATTTTATGTCAAATTTTATTTATGATTACTATAATACTAACTCGTTGGGATCAAATCGTCTTCTGTGAAGTATAATGAGCATCACCCATGCACTGAAACGGTCAATAATTTTCTTCTTGATTAAATTTATTTTTTAATTTCACCAAGATTACTTTTTACCGGAGAAAATGGTAAAAGCGAACAGTATCATTTTTATACGTACGACTGTTCCAGTCGTACACACAATATTTACTTTTATTTTTTCTAGGAGAAAATTCCATGATGTAAATTTTTATAACTATTTAAATAATTATGACTGTTATTATATCGATTAATTTAAAAGCATTAAATTTCAACAAATATAAAAACATTGGTTTTTCTCAATTTGTCTATTCAAATCTGTCTTGACCTACTGTCAGTAGTTTCGTTTGCTAACACTAGTTGGCGTATCGAAATTTTGACTTTCCCAATACAGGGTGTTCGGTTACTGGTGTGAGAAACTCTAAACGGCGCTTCGATATGTTAACTAAGAGAAAAATCAAGAATAATGCGGCTTTGTACCAACTTGCAAATAAAATAAAAACCTCTTTTAACTTCTAGAAATTCCTTTACGGTATAAATGCATAAAATCCGCAGTCTAGTAATAAATATATACAAAATCCTAATATTCAAATATGTAACTTTTAGAACTTTCCGACTTACCTATCTTCCTTCACAGACTCTTGTTTTGGGTCCATCCACGGGGCCACATAAACAATGCCTTCGTCTTTTAATTCATTTATAAAATATTCTATTATTTCTTTACCCTGGAATATATCATTGCATTGTACAAAATAGAACACAATTATAAGGTGATGAAGAATATTCTGTGCTATTAAAACAATACCTTTGCAATGTTTTGAGCATACTGTTTCATTGCCAATTTTTCCATGGAATTCTCAAAACCAAAAAAATTTTTTATATCTAAACTTGCAGTTTGCTCGAAACATGTCCAATCTTGATTTTCAGGGTGAACCTGCAAATGTTTTACATTAGTTACGGACATCGCCCAGATAGCACACGTCTTGCAGACGCCCATTTTCCGGCTATTTTTGGTCTGAGGCGTTTTTAAGCTGTCTTCAAGGCGTCATGTGCTATCTGGGAGTATAAAAACTTCAATTACTGCTTTTTTATAATATTATAATTAATTAACCTGAACATATAATTTTATAAGCACTCTGTAATATTAGAATGATAATGTGGACATAGAGGGTGTTGATAAAAATGTGGGACACTTTGACAGGGTGGATTTTACAGACCAAACAAATTGTTTGACGAAGGTCAAGAATCTCGAAATTGCGTTCGAGGATTCGTTTCCGAATTATTATGTAAAATTGTAATGACGTTATGGATGTAGATGAAACTACTAATAGCAATTCTGATACAACGATTTCAAATAATAAGAAAAATTGCGGATGTAATGATAACTGTCGTTTTCGTTGTTCCCAAAAATAAATCTTGATGTTTGAAAAACAACTTTTTCCCAGTTCTGGCAATTTGGCAATTTATTCAATTTTATAGTAACATTGTTCATTAAACAAATTATTTTATGTTTGGTTATATTTGATTCAGTTACACTTATTTCAGTTGAAAGAAACGTTTACCATTTTCTTTTTGCAGTAGAATGCTAGGCAAACGTGTTTATTGTGATGTTTCTCGCAGCTAGAAGTGAAACGTGCTACTAGAAAGCACAACATGCTATTGTTTGTTGCTATAAATGTATCGGCGCATCGCCGTCACGTTGACGGCGCGGCGCGGATGATGCGTATTCGCGACCGAAGAGCCTCGGGCATCTTCGGCGTCACGTGACAGAATCGGGCACGATCGGACCTCCTGCGCGTTCGACGCCTCGCGCCCCACGATCGTGATCGTTCACTCTTTCGAACAAAGCGTCCGCCACTGCGTTATAGTATTTGTAACCACGTTTCTATAGGTTATGGGCCCAGGGCAATCGCGTTAAGGACGATTGTATTAGTGCAAGTGAATCAAGTCGGTAGTGCACGTGAAAACGATGGCGTCGTCGAACTCGCCTCGCGTCGAACTCCTCAACCGCGATAACTACGACACGTGGAAAATTCAAATGGAAGCGGTCTTGGTAAAGAACGACGCGTGGGGCTATGTGAGTGGCGTAAAGCTCAGACCCGAGATCGTGGCCGGCTAGGGAGCAGCAGCATCCAAGGCAGCAGCTGAAAGATGGGACTCGGAACACCGGAAAGCGAAATCGGACATCATCCTGTACATGAGCCCATGCGAATTAAAACAAGTAAAGGGCTGCGTCACGTCGCGCAACGTATGGACCCGATTGGAAAATATTTACCAATCTCGAGGACCGGCGCGAAAGCCTACGCTGTTAAAACGGCTCACACAACATAAAACGGCCGACGGTGAAGACGTGCGCGAACACACTCGACATTTTTTCGACACAATCGACAAATTAGCGGAAATGGAAGTCGACATGAACCCTGACTTATTGACGATTTTACTGTTTATGATCGAGGAGAACGATGCGCGAAGAGCAGAAACGCGAAACGTACCGAACGCCATGATGGCGAGAAGACAGCCCCGAAGATGGCCGGATCCCAAGAAGAAGGAAAAGGACAACACGGAAATCGGACATAAGGCGTCCGAATGCAGGCAGCCGCCAACGCAACGAAAGGATAGCGCAGGCAGAGTCGACAGTGGATGCACGAGTCATCTGTGTAAGGACTCTAGTGACTTCGTCGAATTAGTGGACACTACGCCGAGAAAACTGAATCTCGCGAATAATATGTCGACCGAAATAAAAGCACGTGGAAGTGTCTCGATCGCCGCGAGGGTAAACGGTCGCGTGACGAACGTAAACATAGATGGCGCGCTCTACGTTCCCGATCGGCGTTCTAACCTCCTTTCCGTCGGAAAAATTACCGACCGGGGGTACACGGTCGTTTTCGACGACAAATCGGCAAAAGTGATAAGTAAGGACGGACGAACTGTTTTATCGGCCGATCGCGTAAACGGTCTTTACAATTTACGCGAGGACAGGCATACGTGCAGTGCGGTCGAAAGTCGAAACGACGCGAACGGAAAATCTGTACCGAGCCCCACCGCGATGTTGCATCGAAGAATGGGACATTTGAATTTCCGTGATCTTTTCGAGGAAAATCGCAGTAGAGCAGTGCTCGAGATGAAGCTGGATGACAAGAAGGACGTTACCTGTGAGATCTGTCTTCGAGGGAAGATGACTCGCGCCCCGTTTCCGAAAACGAGTCACCGTAAGACGGAGTTGTTGGATATTGTTCATTCCGACGTCTGCGGACCAATGAGAACGCAGTCAAACGGTAAGGCGAAATATTTTGTCACTTTCATTGATGATTCCTCGAAGTGGTGCCAAATCAAATTCATTCGCGAGAAGGATCAAGTTCTCGAGGCCTTCAAGGAATTCATGTAGAAAATTACACCGGGCGAAAAATTAAATGTTTACAGTCCGATAATGGCCGAGAATACATAAATAAAAATTTCGACACATTTTTAACCCCTTGCACTATTTTGACGAGTCTGACTCGTGATGACAATTTTAGGCCAAACATGGATGTCACGAGTCGGGCTCGTTGTTCAGTTCCAGACCAAACATGAATATCACGAGCTTGACTCGTACTCGACATTTCAGGCCGAACATGAATATCACGAGCCTGACTCGTACTCGACATTTCAGGCCGAACATGAATATCGCGAGTCTGATTCGTGGTCTTAGTTTTGGACCAAGTATGAACATCTCGAATGGGATTGTGTGTGCCCGTGTAGAGCACGTGCTACCTAGAACGTAGTGCTGCTTCTTGGTACAGATAACATCTCCAAGTTAAATAAACATGCGCACGCGGCGAGACTAAGACCGCTCAGTCGATCTTCAGTTTGTACCATTCTTTATACGAGGTGCACACGTTTCGAACAGCTTGCTACAGAAAGTTGCTTGCTACACAAAGTGATCTCTGCATATATATTTTTAATTCTACCAAGCCCTCCAGCATGTACAAGAAAAGAAGCAACACTTCTAAAACTTCGCGTGGAAGTAAGAGCCGGGGAAAGGCTTCCAATGTTTCAAGCTGTCAATCGATAGATCATAGAAGAATTACAGACAGTGACGAAAATACTAGTGACAGCAGTGTAATTGTGCCAGTAGTGAATTCTGCAAGAAGATTAATTATACGCGACAGTGATGAAGAGGAAAATCCCAGACCTGAAGTGAGTCTTGAGTGGAATTGGCAGGAAAGTGATAACACGCCAACAATTTGGGAATACTCGGAGGCTTGTGGTGTAAAAGACTATGTTTTAGACCAATTAGGCACGAATGACGGACTGTTAGATTTATTTTTTATTATATTCGACGAAAATTTGTGGGACATTGTGGTCACGGAAACAAATCGTTACGCGGAACAAATAATGAGTAATGGGAGAAGAAGGAAAGTGGATGACGATTGGTTCCCAGTTACAAAAGATGAAATATTGGCCTATTATGTGTTGTGTATTTTGATGGCGCAAATCAAAAAACCAAATATACAGATGCATTAGTCTAAGCAGGAAGTGATAGAAACACCTATATTTACAAAAGTAATGCCGCTGAAAAGATTTACCCAAATATCACGATGTTTGCATTTCTCAAATAATCTAACGGATTGCAACAATGATCGCCTTCACAAAATAAGACCAATCATTAATTATTGGAACGACAAATTTAATAATATTTACACACCGGATAAAAATATAAGTATTGATGAATCATTAATGCGATATAAAGGCCGCTTAATGTATAAACAATTTAACCTATCAAAACGAGCCAGGTTTGGCATAAAAATATATAAACTATGTGAAGCAAGTACTGGATTCTGCAGCAAGTTTAAAATATATACTGGCCAAGATAAAATTGACCTGATTGATAGTTCATCAGAAGGTGTGGTGACGGAATTGGCAGAATCGGTTTTAAATAAAGGATACACGTTGTACATTGACAATTGATATTCCTCACCCGTTCTATTTCTAAAATTGCACAAGCAAAAAACAAATGTTATCGGCACCGTGCGTAATAACAGGAAAAATATGCCGAAGGATCTTTCAACAAGCAAATTAAAACCAGGAGAACATCTATGCAGAACGTGCAATGGAATATTAGCTGTAAGGTGGAAGGACAAACGTGATGTGTATGTGTTGACAACGAAACACGCATCTGTAGAAATGACCGAAGTGACAGACAAACGAGATAGGACGAAATTTAAACCGACTTGCGTAATTGACTACAACAAAGGAATGGGGGGAATTGACCTCAATGATCAAATGTTGGCATGTTTCCCCATTATGAGAAAATATATTAAGGGTTACAAAAAACTCTTTTTTTATATGACCGATATGGGCCTATATAATACGTATGTAATAAAAAAACAACTACAAGATCCAAGAAGACAATCCTACGTAAATTATAAAATATGTAATTATAAAATATGTACAGCTGCCTGACTATACAAGACGTGGGAAATCCGCAGAAATTCAAACAACAATGCGCTTACAGGCGCAATATTGGGCTCATTTCCCCAAACATATTGATGCAACGCCTAGTAAGGAACACCCAACTAGGATCTGTAAAGTGTGTTACAAACACAAAAAACGAAGCGAAACAAGCTGGGAATGTAGTAAATGTAAGATGGCTTTGCATGTACCGGAATGCTTTAGAAAATATCATACCATGCAAGAATATTAAATTTATACTTGTAAGTACTTTTCAATTTATTAATTTGTTGATATTTAATTGTTTATTTATATTGTGTTTTTCAGTTTTAGGTTTGATGTTCAAATACTACTACCGTGGATTTGCTTTTACATATTTTTATTTTGTTAGTAATTAATTATATTATTATTATTTATTCAGAATTTGTTTTCATCTTATGTAATAATTAAAGTATTTTTTAAAAGTTTTTGATTCAAATTCATTTGAATTTCACAAGAGTTTCATCGCGTGAAGTAAATACGGGCACGACTACCTTGCGCTTGGTCGTAAGAATAGGTCTCAAATTTCGGCACGCGCGCTCCACCGCTCGCCTTTCACCGCGACAATCGAGGCAGCCGCGTTTGGCCTGACTTTTCCAGAGGTTCCGAATAGTGCAAGGGGTTAAGAGAAAACGGCATCTCCCGTAGGCTGACCGTCACGCACACTCCGGAACAAAATGGTGTCGCCGAACGAAGAAATCGTACACTCGCGGAGATGCGTCGATGTCTGTTGATTCAATCCGGACTACCACCATCGTTCTGGGCGGAGGCCATTAACACCGCGAATTACATCAGGAACAGGTGCCCATCGAGGACTCTCGGCGGAAGAACGTCGTACGAGAGATGGACCGGAAAGACGCCGAACGTCGGGTATTTTCGAGAGTTCGGCTGTAGCATTTACTCCCTGGATCGAGGCCGAACAAGGGAAAGTTCGAGTGTCGATCTCGGAAGGGCATATTCGTGGGCGAGGGTTCCAACAGCGACGAGTCCAAGGCGACCGAATCTGGCTTTCCGAGGAGAGAAAGGTTGACATCGCCAGGGATGTGAAATTTCTGGAAGATATCAGAAAAACATTGGGCAGCGAAAAACACAAAATATCAATCCATAAGGAGGTGTTTCCACTTGAAATGGTTGATTTTCCATTTGGGATTTCCACAGGTCAAAACGTGAATCGAACACCAGAATCGAGCGAGCACGAGGCCTCTGATGGACCTATTACAGACGAGCCGGAAACGGTTGACACACCGCACGACGCTGAGACCCCGACATCCACGAACCAACCGCCAAAAAGAGGCAGGGGGAGACCGAGGAAGATCATGACCGGACTCAGGAGGAGACTCAGAAAACCGTACCAGGTCGCCGACGTTCCGGATCCGAACGCGGGCACATCCGAGGGGACTGCGGGAGACGATTTCGTCGCTTTCGCGGAGATCTCGCTCGAGCACGCGATGCAGGGTCCCGAGTCAAACGAATGGACTCAGGCCATGGTTTCCGAGATGAAGTCGATCATCGCGAAAAATACATGGGAAATCGTCTAACGTCCGGAAAACTGGACAGTCATTGGAAGTCGGATAGTACTCCGAAATAAGTACAACGAGAATGGCACGACACTAAAAAGGAAGGCACGTTTTGTCGCAAAGGGCTTTTCGCAACTCCCTGGGGTGGACTTCCGCGAGACTTTCGCTCCTGTTGCTCGTATGGAGTCGATTAGGATGCTGTTGGCCCTCGCCTCTTAACACAATATGACAGTGCATCAGTTCGACGTCGACACAGCGTATTTGAACGGGGAACTCCAGGAGGAAGTTTTCATGGAAATGCCGGAGTACACCGAGGACATATTAGAAGAAATCACCAAACACGGAACAAAATGCGATGAAACCAGGAAGAAGGCGTCACAAATGTTGCGCGAGCTAAGTCGCGGAGACAAGGTATGTCTCTTGAAGAAGGCGCTATACGGTTTGCGTCAAGCCGGACATAGTTCGCATCAGAGATTGTGCGAGGAACTGAGGAAATACGGACTTCACCAATCCTCTTTCGATCCGTGCGTGTTCTATTCGGACCAAGGCGAGGACATCATGATGATCGCAATATACGTGGACGGTATCCTCGTGGTGTCGAAGAAATTACCGAACAACGAACGACTCAAATCATACCTGATGAGCAAGTTCAAAATCAAGGATCTCGGCGAAACGAAATACTGCCTAGGAATCGAAATTTCTCGGCACAGTGGCGGCATATCACTGAATCAGACAAGATACATAAGGGAAATTCTGGAACGATTCGGGATGAGCGATGCGAAGACAGCTCGGACGCCGATTGTACCTGGCGTCGCACTCAAAAAGGCCGATACGAGCGCAGGCAATGCCGGGCCGAACGGGAAGCTGCCGTACGAGGAGCTTGTTGTTGCAAAGCATGTACTTGGCTGTCTGTACGAGGCCCGACATCGCGTATGCCGTCAGCTTTCTCAGTCAATTTAACTCGTGTTTCAATTCAACACATTGGGTGGCCGCAAAAAGAGTGTTGAAATATTTAAAGGGCAAGTTGGACGTTGGTTTATTTTACAGATGCAGCCGAGAACCGTTAAGAGGATTCGTTGATGCGGATTGGGCGAATTGTCCCGAGGACAGGAGGTCATACACGGGATACGTTTTTCTCCTCGCCGGAAGCCCCATATCCTGGGAAACCAGAAATCAGCCGACTGTGGCCCTGCCCTCAACAGAGGCCGAATATATGGCGCTGGCCGAATCAACTAACGAGGCCGTCTACCGAAAGGGGTTCCTCATGGAGCTCGGCTTCACCATGTACTCCGACGTGGAGGTTTTCGGCGATAATTGCCGAGCGCAAAAGTTAGCAGTTAATCCAGTATTCCATAACCCAACAAAACACATCGATATGAAGCATCATTTCGTCCGGCAGGCCGTGCGAGACGGATATTTGCGAATCGATAATACGCCTACGGAAGGCATGCCCGCCGACGTGCTAACAAAGGGTCTCTCTGGACCGAAGCATCGTAAATGTTTAGAACTTCTCGGCGTCGGCGTTTTCGCATCGGGGGGGAGTATCGGCGCATCGCCGTCACGTTGACGGCGCGGAGCGGACGATGCGTATTCTCGACCGAAGAGCCTCGGGCATCTTCGGCGTCACGTGACAGAATCGGGCACGATCGGACCTCCTGCGCGTTCGACGCCTCGCGGCCCACGATCGTGATCGTTCATTCGGCACAAATGTCCGCCACTGCGTTATTGTTTGTAACCACGTTTCTATAAAATGTGTTACAATGCAATGCCTTTCCTTTCACTTAGATTTTTTATTGTTTTGTTTCATATTTCAAAGCGTTCAAATTTGTCACTCTGATCAAAGAGATGGCGCCATTGTATCTTTTCCGGCCGGAAGACTGGCCTGCCACACGGAGTGTATTATTCTTTAAACTAAGAATAAACTTAATCGTACAAAAGATAATTCAATCTTAACCGATTAAAGTCCCCAGCGTTACTCATTGAAAATACCAAAAACCTCAACAAAATGAAGACGCGCTACTTTTCGAGAACAAAATCGAGACGTATCGCTTTCCGTGGTCACAAAGTTCAAAGTGCTAGCCTTCGTAAGACAAACGTAACGTGGTACTTTTCGTACCGCACGTCAGACATTATACGACATTTTCGAACACATACTTATTTTTAAACTGTTATTATTATCATATAATAATATATTAATATTGATACTTTATTGAAATCACATTTTGTATTTAAAAAAATTAGATTTTCAATTTCACTCGCCTTCCTTTCTTAGTAATCAACACATAGACATTTGATTATAATGTATCAGTTATCTTTCGGTAAGGAAAGCCAGAAGGAGTAGCTAGAACAATGTATAAATGTGTACACGATTCTTAAAAACGTAAGTAATATCCCAGATAGCACATGACGTGAATTTTACGGTGGTTTCGGTCTAAGGTGTCTTTAAGATATCATGTGCTATTTGGGATATACTTTTTCATTCTTTATTTTGAGTGAAAATGTAAAAACTATACTAATTGTACATACTAGATACTTACAAAATATCTGCATTTTTCAATAACTGTTACTCTTGAGGAAAAGCTTTCATTGTACGCTTCTATTTCTAGAATACAATTTTGCCTATCCAAAAAATTTTTTTGGATAAAGTATACAAAGTCTACGCCGATTATCTGTAAAAATGGAAAATTAATGGTTCAAGGTAAATTAGAACAATAGAATAGTAATCACTGCAACTACTAATTAGTACTTGAATTCATAATACATATCTACTACAGCCCCTGGCAAAAAGTTTCCGATCACACGCATTACGCAATACAAAATTCACTGAGAATATCCATATTTTAGGACTACAAAATACTATCATATGTGTAAAAATTTAAGTGAAGGGAAATTAAAAGGAGGGTAATACGAAGTAAGTAACTATAAAACAACATCCAGATAGCAAACCACGCCTTGAAGAGGTCCATTTTACGGCTATTTTAGGTCTAAGGCGCCTTTAAGCCGTCTTCAAGGCGTCACTGGGCGTCATGTGCTATTTGGCCAGAAACTTTCATTTATTACGAAAAAGGAACACGATATGTAATAAAATGAATTCCTGGAGTAAAGTTTCCGAACATACATAACTAGAATAAGTACGTTCTTGACTATGTGAAGTGTAGATAACAAATATAAACACACGAGGAGACCACAGAAATGTAAATAGAAGTTAACAAGCTCTTTTGACAAGGAATATTAGCCATCCCGCAGGTCCCGATTTTCATGAAATTTTGTGGGGTTGTAGAGGGCATCGAGTTTTGTAAGGAACAATTTTTTTTATCAGCCGACACTCGCGTCAACGGGTGAAATCATCACCTCTTAAATTGGCCGAATTTTTCGTTTATTCAGTATATCCTGTTAATCGTAAGATATAGGAAGAAACTTTTAATGGGCGAGTGTCATGGTTTTTCATGTGCAATAATATGGTCCTAATAAATTGTCCAAAACACAATTTGTTTATAATAAACAAATTTTTTATACCCTTATCTAACAACTTGATCAAATTTACATAATGATAAAAAGTGACGAACATTTCATTCCAAATCTTAAGAATAAACTTTAAATTATTACAAATATAAAGTTATAGTATAATTGTTATACTATAACTTCAACTTAATAACAAACTTTATACTTTGTGTTATACAAAATTTTAAGTGGATACGTAGTGCAATTTTTTTTAGTACGTTAGTTGATCCAGATTGTAATTCTGTATAAAAAAGTATTACCCTATTCATATAAAAGAACCATTACTTTAAGATATATTTGCATATTGATATATATACAACTAAACTTGACCTTCATATCTTTAAAAATAATAATGTTAAAAAAATTCACCATAGCCCGGTAACAGCCCCCTCGTGCTATTCAATTTCATCTAGGTAGACTGGTTTATCGTATTTAAAATAGTTTAGAATATAATAGACTTACAGTAGACATTCGTTTCCTGCGCAATCGTTACCTGCACAGAAGCCACGTCCCTTGCTCACACGTATTTCTAACACACGTGCGCGTACCCTACTCTGTCGCCCAGCACGCCCAGGCCGGAACACATACTGTTGAGGAGTAATTATTTTATTTATGTTTGTTTTCATGACTATGTATTTTATTTTGTTCTGTTGAGAAGCGTGTATAGTAAGTTTTTGTTTTATGTTCAACCGTTGAAATTACGCGGGACCGTCGTAGTAGGTTTTCTTTTGATCAAGTGTGTACTGCGCCACGAGAAGCGTCCAGTTGTTCTTTGTATTATTAGAACTGTAGTCAGTGCAATGGTCTCTGTATGTGTAGTGTTTATTACTATTCAAATATATATTCTATTTTACTAATGTTTGGACTGATAAAGCTTGATTTTTCCTTCTGGAATAAACATAACTTAACAACAGGTTATGGGCCCAGACTCGTTGCCCAAGCACGTGGCCGATGTGTGCTCGATCGAAATTACCGACTAAAGACAGTTTATTCAGGATCAGTAATTTGTTGTCATGGATTTGATTAAATCACAAATGGAGACTCTGTCTGAGGATTCACATGGAAATATAAATTATGTCTCCTGGAGATTCAAATTAGGTTTGGCATTGAAATCGAAAGGTTTGTTTCTCGTATCGACAGGAATTGAAATAAAGCCACATGGTCAAGACAATGATGAGAATGTTAAAATTTGGATTAAACAAGATCTTGAAGCTCAGACTATTATAGGTTTAAACGTCAGTAGCAATATAGCCAGAATAATTGCAAATTGTACGTCGGCAGCTCTAATGTTAAATAAATTAGAAACTTTATATGGGATGAAGTCTGAACTCTCTGTTGAAAGTCTGCAAAGACAATTTTTCAATTTTACGTATGATACAAGTAAGTCCGTCATTGAAAATTGTATGACAATTCAACAACATGCTGAAGATCTAATGGCTGAATGTGAAGAGATTAAAGAAAGTTGGATCATGACCAGAATATTAGGAGCCTTGCCACCTAAGCTTTATCACTTTCGTACCGCTTGGGATAATGCTGCTGCTGTAGACAAAAATTTAAGTAAGTTATTCGAACGTCTACGTCTGGAGGAAGATAGGTTAAATGAAAATGAACAGTCAGCAGAACTTAAGTTACAAAATGCTCTTGTTTCGAGACATGATAAAAACATTGGTAAGTCAAACTTGCAAAGAAATGTGTCTGATAAGTTGTCCGTCGAATGTTTTAAATGTGGAATGAAAAGACATGTCAAGAAATACTGTAAGAAGAAACCTTGTCCTAAATATCTGTCCTACTGTAAGAGTCATGCTTGTAATATATGTCATCAAACGGGTCCCTTTGCCAGAGAATGTCCCAAAGGAAATTCTGATGAGTGTAATAGTCAGAGAGATGACAAGTCTGTAAAGAATAATTTTGGAAAGTCTAATCGTCGTGCATGTGTCACTGTTGGTTTGTCGACAACAAATGTAAATGTTGTTAATTCAAAGCATGAAAATGCAAATCTGTGGTTCCAGGACTGCGCTGCCACACAACATATGACTCATCGTATGAATTGGCTAAAGACCTTTGTTACATTTAAAAATCCAACAATGATAATGATTGGTGATTCCACAAAACTAGAAGGCACTGGAATGGGAAACGTTGAGTTAGAAGCCTTCAATGGAAAGGAATGGTACAAAATAATCCTACTAAATGTTTTATATGTTCCGAAGATAACAACCTTCAATCTTCTGTCTGTTACCCAATTGCTGGATAAAGGTTACCGTCAGACTGCGACTGCCAACGAGTCAATTTTTAAAACTTTAGACAACAAAGAAGTTGTAGCAATGGCTAAACGTGATGGAAATTTGTATAAAATGATGTTTCGCCAAGAAAAGACTGACAAATGTACGCTAACTGTATCTGTTAAAACTTGGCATGAGAGATTAGCCCATCAACACATTAAAAAAGTCAGAGATGTTCTGAAAAGAAACTCCATCAAATATGTTGATGATTGGTTCGATTATGTATGCCCAGGTTGTGTCTATGGAAAGCAACACCGTATTTCTCACCCGACAAACTACAAAGTTGCTAAGAAACCATCAGACTTGATTCATGTCGACTTATGTGATGTTACGTCCCGCGTTGCGGTCGTTACTTTACTTATAATTTCGGGTCCTGGCTCTTTTAAGGTGCTAAAGCACGCCCTGTCTAAACTTATCGGTGAAGTACGCGGTTTGGAATTGGAACGGGACGAATAGGAAATCACTCTCGTTTATAACAAGAATAAGATATATTCTAACAATCCAAATAAAAATAAAAGATACAAATAAGTCTTAACATACCAATGGTGATGAAGATGAATGATACGCTCATTCGGTTTCAGTCGGTTTAATCGGGATTACGGGTCCTTGCAAGGGCGGAAGACTTGCTGGCGCTCGGAGCCGTGATGCAGGGATCGGGCACTGCGGGATACGTTGTCACCGTCTCGGACGTCACACCTCGCGGTCCGATGTCTTATCGAACTCGCCTGTTAGGCCGCGCGTAATCGCAAAGTCGCGTCGCACACGGAAGAGATATCGTCGCGAAACCCGATCTGAACAGCTGAGTGACCGTTGTCGCTCAGCTTGCCGACGAAGCACCGTCTGGCACGACTGCCGAATATGAGCCTCAACTTACTGACTGACTGACACACTCTGACTCTGTCCTTTGACTCTCTTTGACTGTTGACTCGTTAACCTGGTTTTGAACAATCCCTTTTATGTGTTCTTTCCCCTTTCCTTTTGTTGGGAAACGCGCAAGATACGGGGTAGCAACAGGCTGTGATTCCCGATGGTCTCGAAAACGAGGTTATAAAATCGCTGACGTTTCCGTCAGCGGTCCGAAAAAAGGGGATAATCACTCTCTTGCTTCCACGTATCGCTGAATTAACGATTTCTGCTCGTTCTTCGCGTTGTGAAGTAATATGGAAAAAATGTGCAATGGAAAGAGGTTATGAAATACAGAATATAACAGTGAAATGAATGTCAGGTCGCTAGGAGGAGCTAAGTATTTTCTTCTATTTAAAGACGACTTTTCGCATTTCAGAACAGTTTATTTCTTGAAAACGAAAAATGAAGCCGCCGAGAAATTGAACATATTTGTCAAGATGGTTGAAAATCAATTTGAAAGGAAAATTAAGTGTCTCAAGACAAGACTTGTAGCTAGAGGCTTTGAACAGGAAAAGGGAATCAATTATACAGAAACTTTTAGTCCTGTAGCTCGTCATGAAACTGTACGGTTGATTCTCAGTCTTGCAACTTCTAGAAAAATGAAATTAATGACCTTTGATGTCAAGACTGCA